TGGATTTCCAGCTGGCTGAGCTTCGACTTCACTTGGTTTTGCTTCTGGTGATCCTTCTTTGTGCTCACCAGGTTCTACAACTTTCTTTACTAGTGCTCTCCTCAACAGTTCAGGTTTCACTGGCTGAACTTCTCCTTCAGTTGGTTTTGCTTCTGATGATGCTCCTTGATTTGCTGGTGCCTCATTCAAGGATACATGTTCCGCTGGTTTGGCTTCTTCTACACTTGATTGCACTTGTGGTGGTGCATTAAAAGTACGAATGAGCGGTCTCGCTTTCATAACTGGCGGTTGTAGTGCATGTGGAGGTTCCGTTGTTAGAATTTCTGGTTCATCTGGTGAAGGTGCTGGGTTGTCTCTCTGCATCATTGACATTCCTTTAACTGCGTTCTTTCTACATCCGCAGCTTAGAAGAAGTAGAGTTACGATAAAGTATTGTATTTTCATGGCGTCGTTTTTCTTGGAAAAAAAAAATGATAGTGCCGATTTGTTACTCGCTTATTTATAGTTTTTTTGATTCCATTCAGCGCCTACAAAATCGCAACTGGTGCCTTTTTCTTTCTCTCTTTGTTTCGTTAGACTGTGAAAGTGCAAAATAAATTAGGATGAGCATATGTGTTTAATGTGACGATTAGTGGGTTATAACCCTTCTCATATATATATATCATGAATCGTTTAATTGTTTGGAAAGAGCGTATAAGAAAAAAAAAAGCATTTAAAAATGTTCTAATGCTGGCTTTTGTTCATGAGACACAGATGACGTTGATACTGGGATAATTATTTTTCTATCATCATTTTCTTGTCCTTCATGATATCTAATTGATGATGCAAGCGGAATAAAAAATGCACTCTCATCAAGATGTTGTCCAATTTGACGAAATGTTGTTTCAATTTGTTGAGTTTTGACAGTTTCTGTAACAGTTTCTTCTTTTTCTTCTTCACGTGAAACAATATTTTTTTGGTCATTTTGAGAATTAGTTGACACTAAATTATTTAAAGTTGATGAAGATGATAAAGATGATACACGAGGTGTAAGATGTTGATGAGACATATTTGTTGATGATAGAATAGCATCATAGGTACCACCACTTTTAGCATTAGTTTGTTGTAAACGAACAAGGTCTTTGATTTCGAATTCGACTTCATCAACACCAGCTGTTTTATATTCATCTTCATCTTCTAAGGGTGGTAGAGCTAAATATAAAAGAGAAAAAAAAACATAAATAAAAAAAAAGTTTATTATAAATAACGTACGTTGTTTTCTTGGTGTAAATACACGAATTGTTTCATAGATTGATTCTGAATCATGTCCACTCATTTCACTAGTTGTTGAACCATCATCAGATATTACAGATGATTGTCTTCCTAATTTTTTATGTTGAATACGTGGAATTTCAGGAGAAACTGGTCGATGAGTATAAATAGTTGGTTGTTTTTCATATTTAACATCTTGTTGTAATAATGATGGATTATTGGTAACAATTGCTGAAGAAGCTTTTTTCGGATTTTGATCATTAAAATTTTCGTCTACATTTACATTTTCCCAATCTATATAGAATAAATATTTTTATGAATAAACATTAGAAAAAAAAAAGATTTTACTTGGATTATCAGTTATTCGTTCAGCTGCCATATTAACTGTTGTTACTGTTAATCCAGGAAGTCTTTGAATATCTTGATCATGTTGTAAACGATTTGATGTTTCAATTAATGGTTCTTTTGGAATAAAATAATTTTGTTCTTCATTAATATAATAATTCTTTGTAATATTACGTTGAATATTTGTTTCAACATTTTCTTTGACATCACCTGACAATGCATCAGAAACAACAGTTATTGGATGACGACTAAATTAATTTATAAAAAAAAAAAAAACAATTTCTTTAAACAATAAAGAAAAAGAAAATTTACCCATTAGCAAGTAAACGAACACCATTTGATTTTTTATTTATATCACGATTTCGAATTTCATCTTCAGAAATAATTTCTGAACTAGATTCAAATGCTTCATTATTAGCACCAATAACTGCTGCTGTTACATAAGGATTTGTATCACCATAAAAATCATCTTGAACTATACGACGTTCATGAAGATTTCGAAATATACCTTTATTTCCACCGTATATAGCATAAGGAGGAACTGGTGGTAATGGAGCTGTTGCAAAATGTTGATCTTTTCCAACATATATATTTTTTCGACCTTTAGCACTACCTGAACCAAAAAATTGTTCATGTAATGATTTACGCTAAATAGAAAGATAAGCGAAGAAAAGAAAATTTCTGTTGAGATAAAAAAAAAAAAAATTAATCACATCTGCTGCATATTTTCTATGTCGATACCATCGACAACAGTATCGTAAAAGGTATAGAAGTAATAATAACCAACAACAAAGTAATGCTAATAGAGCCCATATAGCTAAAGCAGTATTGAGCCACCATGGATAAGGAGAACTAAATAAAAAATTCTATATTTAATTTATCAGTAAAATATTTTTAAATAAAACAAAAAAACAAAGGAACCAAATAGGAATTACTTACGTTCCTGTACCACTATAAGTTGGCAATGGTAGTAAACCTTGGTCTGGTGTTACAATATTACCCATGATTTTGTATGAAAAAGAATATCTAATCGATGTATATAGTTTGTCATAGCTTTTTTTTTTTCTCTTTTATTCATTCTTTTGAATTATTTATACCAACGCAAAATCAAATGAATTTTTGATTAGGTAATAGAAAATTAATCTTTATATAATGCACTTTCTTTTATTTCTTTATTCATTTACAATCTAAAGAAATTTCATATTATTTATCAATTAATATTTATTCCCTATGAAGTAGAATATTTCTTTTTTTTTTTTTTTTTTTTGTATAGCTATTTATATTACTCATAGGATAAAATCTGCAAATAATATTTTATGAGAAGATAATATTGACTGTTGAATAAAAAAAAAGGAAAAACTTTTAATTATTCCAATTACAAGCGTTCTATATAATTATTTGTTTATTTTTTTTTCTTTTTTAATTAAATATCATATGGTCCTTTCGGATATACATTTGACCTTGAAGAATTAATATGTGAAAATGGTTGATGACGTTGTAATGCATTCCAAACATTTTGTACAGCTTGATTTCTATGTCCATTATATAATAATGGTGTATCTTCTTCAACAAGTCGACATGCTGATACAACTTCACCAATAATACGTCGTTCAGTTGGATAACTACTTTGAATAGTTGTACTAGGTAATGATACTGATGTTGGATAACGATGTGATTCAAAACAGCATCGTTCATAGGGAAATAGTGAAATACCACTTCTAGAAAGTGCAACATTAATATGACGAATATCATCAAGTAAAAATGTTGGAACAGATTTTGAAGTATAATCACTTAAATAAGGACTACTACTACGTGGATAGAATTCCTGACGAGGTAATGATGATGATGATGATGTTACAACAGGGTCATAACCATAATCATGTACAGAAGTATTCGGTTGTGATACGGGTGGTGGTGCGAATGATGGTGCGGGTGGTGGTGCGAATGATGGTGCGGGTGGTGGTGCGAATGATGGTGCGGGTGGTGGTACGAATGATGGTGCGAATGATGGTGCGGGTGGTGGTGCGGATGGTGGAATCTCATGTCGTGTAATATGACTTGCAATACCTGTTCGACGTCGTTCACGTTCTAAACATTCACGTAAACATTGTTCAAATTGTGAAAAAGTATTAGTTCCCAAATAAGATATTGGTCCATCATGTGAATGAACTGTTTCAAATATACTTTCTTGTGTTCTTGGTATTCCTGATGGATGTGTATATGTTGATATAGTAGGTTGATTTATGTCGATAGTTGGTTCAGTAATTCGAACATTTGTACCATTTGAACTTATTGGTTTCGATGAAGAAGTTTGTGGTGTCATTTCACTACCAATACGTCGTGCATAAGTATTTTGTTGATCTGGATTGACACGACGTAAATTTGGTCTTGAAAATGTTTTATCATCAGATCCATCTGATACATTAGTACTACCATGAGTAGGTCTTAATGTTGATTGATAAGGTCCAGTTCTTGGTGTTGTTGTTGTTGTTACCGTTGGTTGAGTAGTAGATGGAAGCGGTGGTGCTGGTGGTGCTGGTGGTGGTACTGATGAATCTATATATATATATATATTCAAAGAATGTATTTATTATTTATTAATTGAAATATACTTGAAGGACCAGCTGGTCTTGAATAAACATAATCACTTTTAGGTCGATGTGGAAAACGAAATTTTAATGCAGATATATATGGATCTTCATTACGTGGAGGTGGTCGATAAGTTCTTTCTTGTTCATCGATATCGTCTAATGTTGGATCATACTCATTATCTTCTCTTTCATGTTCATCAATAGTTGATGAACGTAGTTGGTAAGGACGACCATTTGTTCTTGATACGGATCCATTACCATATGAATCAACTTGTGATGTAGTTGGCGAACGTATTGATTGTCGTTCAGTATTTAACATGAGTATAGATCCAACTATGTAAAATGAATTTGATTCAAACACGCGATACTGTTAGAGAAAGACCTTGACAATAAGAAACGCCTTGCTCTTTTCCTTTTTTTTTTCTTTTTTTGTGAAGTTACTACGTATAGTATTTTGTTGTCTTAGAAATCGATAGCGACGTCCCTGTGTGGTTTTTTGATGATAGTAACTGTCGTATATACAGCGACTAAGAAAAGAACGACCATGGGATAGGTGAGCAATGAAAGAAAAATTTTATTGATACGCATCGAAGCGTTCTATTTCTTTTTCTCTTTCTACTTCAAATGAATGTTAATACAAAAAACATCGACCTTCATTTTGATAAAGAAATAGCACGTGTATCAATACGATTAGTCATTTATTAATTAATATATTTTTCTTTTTAATACATAATTAAAAAAAAAAAGGTCATGAATCATGTTCTGATATTCTCAAAAAAAAAATAAAATAAAATAGATATTTTAATATTTTTTCATTACATTATATATCCAATCAATATCAACTGAAACTGATGCAAATGCATTATCATGATTAACATTTTGTGAACATTGATCAAGACCAAAACTTGCAACACCAAATAAATGCCATTTCCATATAGTTTGATTATTATTTGATATAATACCAGCACGTACCATTAAACCAGTACCTGAATCTCCATTACAAATATTATTTCCACGTTCATTTCTTCCACATATATGTAATTTTTTATCAACCATTAAATGGCGACATGAACGTGGTGATATTCGTATTCTTGCTTTTCGTGGTCGATTAACAGCTGTTGAATTAGGTGATGAATGTCCCCAACCAGCTGTATATGCTAATGTACCATCATTTAATTTATCTGTAGATTCAGGTAAACAAGCTATATTAATTGAATTTGATAATGGTATTGGTCTAGCTAATTTAATTAATGCTAAATCATGAATAGGTGCTGGTGATATTCGACTTATACGAAATTTTGGATGAATTAAATATAAAATTGGTTGTTTTATATATTCATTTTGACTTGTACGTAATCGATCATAATGTCCAAGAAAAAGATTAATACCATGAGCTGGATAAAGACGATTTGTTTTACTATCAAACATACAATGAGCAGCAGTTATTATCCATTGTGGATGAATAAGTGTACCACCACAAAGTGTAACTATATGTGAATAAATATTCGAACGACTTTCTATACGAACCTTTGAAAAAATAAAATAAAAATAAAATTTTTCATTGAAATCAAAAAAATAAATAAATAAATTTGAATACTTACAAGCCATGGATATTCAGCTGGACGTAACGTATTTTTAACACTTGTACTTACTTTTAATTGTAATGTTCGTTTTTTTAATAAATGATCATTTTTAATTAAACCACATTTATTTAAATCATAAGTTTGTGTTGGTTCATTATCTTCTTCTAAATAAGTATTATTTACTATTGAAATACAATTATTTCCTCCACATGGTTCAACAATCATTCGACGTCCTCCAGCAATTGTATAAGAATTAAAACAATTACGACAAGAAGGTGTATACTAAATATTTTTCAATTAAAATATAGAATAAAATAAAAATAAAAATAAAAATTTTATTACAATTTTTTCTCTTGATATTGATGATGGATATGGAATATGTATAATATCACGAGAATTATCAAAGAATGGTATTCGGATTGACCATAATGATTGACTAGATATCTATTTAATAAAATATAAAAAGTTATTATTATAATCTCTATAAGATTAATATATATGAAACACGATGTAGCTACTTCTTGTTAAGCAGAGAAATATTGTTTTATGGAGTATATTTCTTCACCATTCTTTTCGTTAATCCTCTAGAAAATAGTTTATAATCTATAATAAGACTTTATTCATATATGGTCTTTGATAGTATATCAACAACGTCAGTGGAGAGAGAAGAGAGATGCAAATTTCTACCTTGAAATGGATCAGAAAAGCTTAAGACACTTCTCGCTTAGGTTTTTTTTCTGTGAAAACAAAGAATGTAAGAGGACATATTTTGAATAGTCATATAAAGTTAGAGTCAAGGTCTATACAAATCATCTATTCTAGATGTAATTAATTGTAGCATGAAGAAAAAAAACTAATTTGAATTTTTCTCAAGCAGACAATTTTCAAAAATATACCATTAGATACTAGAGAAATGTTTTATTATAAATTTTGATTTTCAAGTATTCACTTAGAAAAGAACATTAAAAATTGAATAACATTGTGTATTTTTGTTTTGTAATAAATTTTTGTAACAGGATTTCTTTAAACAAAATAGCAGAAAATCATCGTTGAAATTTATGATCAAAAATAAAATGGTTGTATCAGATAATGAACACATTGTATAGAAGAATGCAAGATCTCATTTGATTGTCTGTTTATCGATCGTGATATAATCGATGAAATATTAAGTATCTTAAACTTTTGTTTACTATAGAAAAAATTCAAGTAGCACTGAAAAAATATGTCACTAATCTTCTTTCTTTTTACATAAAACACCAAAGTAAGAAATATCTCAAACTTTTACAGTCTACTTTATATATTTAGATTATGTTTCATAAAATCAAATAAATTAATCTAAATATCGACTTACACATTTATTAAATATAATAAATAATATAAAATATTGCATTGTGTCTATTTGTGCGTGTGCGTGTATATGTGTGTAAAGTATTCTCTATAAAATAAAAAGATCTATTCTTTTTTTTTTTTTCTTACATTTTATATTATACGTCTTCTTCATTGATAGAAAAAGAAAAATGAGTGCATGCCGTAATTCAATGCTCTCGTTGTTTTTCAATTAATAAAATTGTCTTATCATTTTCTTCTGTCTATTCTTTCCAGACATGTGAAACATCAAAACAAAAACGTTAGAATTTCAAATGAATAGAGATATGTTGAAAGTTCTATTAAAGAAAAAGAAAATCTATTTAATTCAAACCAAAAAACTCTTCATAATTGAATAAAATATTTTTTTTTGATCCTACTTATTAATATTGAAAATATTAAATTTATTTCTCAAGAGGAAAAAAAAAAGAATTCCAAACGATTGAACAAAATGAAAAGTTAGGAAATAACTTTTTATTATTTCCGTCTCAAGTGACATATAACTAATATCTATTCTGAAAATAATAGTTGATTAATTTCATTCCAATAAATACTTTTCGAATTGTCAAACTGTGAAAAATATTTTTAATAAACATTATAATACATTAGAATAGAAACGTATCATAAGACCAATTTATTACGCTTTATTTTTATAATGAATGACATTTTTTTGATATTTAAAACGATATAAAAAGCTTATCAGTACAATTCCTTTGGTGCGAATATGTTGAACTCGCATGCGTTCTTCAGTCTCATGATACTAATATATAATGGTATCAAGTGAAAAATCTCTAGTAGTAGATTACAGATTTTTTTTTGTAGTAGACTACTATGAGCTCTTGGTTCCTAGAAACACAAACCCATAGTGTGCTTGTGTTACAGAATCGAAAATTGAGACTACTATTGACAGTTTTAGACTGATATCAATAAGGAAAAAACTCTACTGATCGCAACACTATCATGTGCGATTCTTTTGTATTGGATAAAAATTATTTTTAAAATAGATTATACGATGAAACAATATCATCAATTCTATCCGACATGGAATTCTTTGCTGGAAGTCACCAATGATGATAATGAATCAATGCATAAAGCCATTGGAGTCTCTTTCAGTATTTATAAAGACAATGTTTTGCAACAAGGATATTTTGTTTTTGTACAAAAAAAAAGATATAGAACATATCAAAAGAAATTTTCCCCACTATTGATATGATATCATGAAAAGAAAAGAACCAAATAGTTGAGCCTGATTTGAATGAGAAGTTATTTGCGTTTCGCCGAGGAACAATAATACAAGGCATAATAATTGCATTCGTCATCATCCGACAACTTTGTGTGTGAATATATGAAGAGGAAATTTCTCATACGAGATGTACCTCAGGCTTCACCAATTGCGTACAATTATAAGATCCGAGTATAGACTAAATGTTGACAAGATCATTTTCAATCAAAGATTTTCGAGACTATTCTCTAGAGAAAAAAAAAGCTGGCATAAGGAACCATTTATGATTTTAGCGAAGATACTAAACTTTTTAAGTTTTTCTTCGTTTATTAATCAACCATTAAGAATTCTAGAAAATTTAAAGTCAGATTTCTTCTACAAACACAAGGAGTCAATTGAAAAAACTTTCGCAATCATCGACCTCATGAACACTTTTCAATGGAAATTGTGTTTTTTTTTGAGCGATTCGGCACAATCTAATTCCAAGAAATAGCAAAATAATTTTTAAAAATATTATTAAATCAAGATCTTCCACAAGATTTTAAAATCTTGAGTACAGAATGCACATTCTTTTATAATAATCGAATCAGATGAATTTATATCCAAAGATCTTGCTTACAAGATGTTCAAGACTTTGAATGTGTTGCATCCGTACTCAACAAGATGTAGAAGAATTGAATTGTTCTATTTTTAATTCGATTCATATCTTCTTTGCAATAAGAATCAAGAAGTTTAGGTACAGATTTGGATATATCCTTCATTAACATTCAAATTGAAATGTGTCAAGTTTCTATTGAAAGATTTATTTTAGTACTTTTTATTTCTATATATCAGCATAACAAGCGAAAAAAAACAAACTTTTGAATTAAAGCATAGGTTTCCTGTTACGAAAAAAGAAATAATAAATGTTTAAAAACTAACATGATTAAAAAAAAAATAAGAACTAATTGTCAATTGAAGATTTTAATGTTTTCATTTCTTCTTCATTTATTATTGTTAATTGATTTTTCTTTTCTTTTTTAGATTTAATATATAAAATCCAAACTTGAATTAAATGTCCACTCATAATTGCACAAAGAAATAAAATAATTGCCCAACCCTAAAATATAAAATATTCATATTGATTTTTTAATTTTTTTTTTGTTTTTT